CCAAAACATTCTATGATTCTATGAAATTCCTGTATCTGATGGCAGTAACAGCTGGTTTGTGGGACAGACTTCTTCCAGTCATCACACTGTAATGAAAGTTGAAGAGTATTAAGTAGCATGATTGCTTTGAAAAGGGAGATGTTAGGCAAAAAGCAGATAATCCCAAGAAGACAACTATAATAGTCAAAAGTCTAATGCTTTCTGAAAGGTGGGTGGCTAAAAGAGCAACACACCTAAACCAGCTTTGTGTGGCTTGTGAAATTGTAAAAGTTGCTCCCAATTGCTAGCAAACAAAAGGCTCTTGAGCACCGCATCTGGAATATTGTGTCCAGTTCTGGGCTCCTCAGTTCAAGAGGGACAGGGAACTGCTGGAGAGAGTCCAGCGCAGAGCCACAAAGATGATTAAGGGAATGGAGCATCTCCCTTATGAGGAAAGGCTGAGGGAGCTGGGTCTCTTTAGCCTGGAAAAGAGGAGACTGAGGGGTGACCTAATCAATGTTTATAAATATGTAAAGGGTGAGTGTCAGGAGGATGGAGCCAGGCTCTTCTCTGTGACATCTAGTGATAGGACAAGGGGCAATGGGTTCAAGCTGGAACATAGGAGGTTCCGCTTGAATATGAGAAAAAACTTCTTCACGGTGAGGGTGACAGAGCACTGGAACAGGCTGCCCAGAGAGGTTGTGGAGTCTCCTTCTCTGGAGATATTCAAAGCCCGCCTGGATGCGTTCCTGTGTGATCTGATCTAGGTGTTCCTGCTCCGGCAGGGGAATTGGACTAGATGATCTTTCGAGGTCCCTTCCAATCTCTAACATTCTGTGATTCTGTGATCTCTACTAAGATCTGTTCTTGTCTGATCTATTATTGGAAAGGATCTCAACCTCCTGGTGCAAATGTCTTTCAATATAATCTATACAAGTATGTACATAGTGCTACTGTATATATTGCCTGTGTGTATTGATGTTATGAGTCTTAAATTGCTGAAATTGATGTGCTGTTCTTGTTTTTAGAGTGTATTTACTGTCAACATTTTAGGTGTAGGAGAGAATTGACCTAGATATTGCAAATCAAAGAATGGTTGGCATTATTAGAAGTATACTCCAGGGTCTCATTGATGTACCTTTTTGCAAGAACAGAATGAACTCAAATGCAAAATTGGCAAGCCAGTAGCTTTTGCTGCCCTGCGATATTAACATTTATTGAGAAAGCTGGACTATTTTGATCCTTTCTGAATGAAGCTTCAAGAGAATAGAACTGTCTTTAAAATCCATCCAAATGTGTGTGAATAACTTATTTTCCTTGGTTTCGTATATGGAGCATTGATAATGGTTACAAAATAGGGTCAGTCATTGTTGCCTTAATTTTTTTCACACAGATGGTAAGGTTCCCTGCTTTTGACATGGTTCATGAATTGGGATGTATGTATTCTGTAGTTGTTTTGGAAGAGAGGTTTTCAAGCTGGTCTAGAAGACTGAAAATGCAAGCTTTTAACTTGAAGAGACAAATAGACATTTGAAGTGATTTGTTGGGAAAAAAAGAAATTCGGATATGGGAAGCCAACAACAATTGCACTTCATGAAAACAGAGAGGGAGTCATCTGCAAACAGCGGATTAGAAACGTAGCAAACACAATTAATGAATGCTTTTCATGTTTTGTCATTTTAAAAACTAGTAGTACTGGATCATATAGAGTAGAAGTTCATGCAGCTTTCCCTTGTGACAGGCAAAAGTGTTAAATGTTAACATTTCTAATTTTGCCAAAAAAAAGGAACTCAAGATAGGATGAGATTCTCCCCCTTTTTTTCTTTGAAGATCTCAGCTGTTCACTATTTTAGCTTCTGGCAGGATTAGTTATTTTCATTGTGTAATATATGGCAGTCAAAATCAGAAATTGCAGAATAACTGATTTTTTTCAATGTATATTTTACTTTGTTAGCATTTGGTTAACTGAGTTCGTGGGACTTGATTGTTGTTGATTGGTAATTTGATAAGAATTGTGGCTTTGCTTTTATGCATCAGTTTGGAACTGTATTTGTGGTATAAAGTTACAAAACTGTCATAGCTTGTGCTGCCCTTAGTGTTGTGGCAATCATCTTGTAGTTTAACATATATAACCATAATCATAGGTTACTTTAAACAGTTATGGAAAATTGAGTTTTAAAACTTTATTAATTTAAAACTGAATGCAGTTATTACAGTGAATTAAGTACTTAGGTTTGGTTATTTTAACTTGATCAGGTCCTCTTTGTACATGATTCTAGTTAATGTGGCACTAGGAGTACCTCAGCATCAAAAAGCAGGAGCTTTTTTGTAGAGGATTACCAGTATCAAGCTTATGTTCATTTCTGAAACTTCTCAGGTGTATAGCCTTGCTGGAATGATAAACTAAAAATAAATGCCGATCTTGCTTAGTGTTATTATTGTTGATTTCTCTGTCTTTGAATAGTGACTGATCTGCTTGTCCTAGAGTCTCAAAACTTCTTGTTTTATTAGAGAAATCTAAGTTTTCTGGAGGAGGGGAAAAAAATTCTTTTGCCAAGCACAACTTCAGTGGTCCCATTTTTCACTGCGTCAGCTGTGGTAAACTGTCACCAAACCTCAGATTGTTGGCCTCTTTTAAGCACCTGTCTGCCTCTTAAAGGCAGCTTGGTTGTCATTTCCAGTTCAGCTCTGCGCTTGCCAGACTGTGTAGGCTTTAAATTTCTGCAGTTAGAATTTACAGGCAATGTGACTTAGATGCCAACAGTCTTATGGCTTGCAGCTTTATCTAGTGACAGACTTCCAGGAATGACCTCTGGTAGGTGTTCTCTGATTTAGTAGGAGAACACCATTGAACTGGTAGAATTTGTGTGTTGTGCTCTGCCCACAGTGGCCTGATTCCCCAGCAGAATTACTGAACCTAGCTGTAAGCAGAGTAGTAGCAGAGAACTCTGCTGGAGCATTGTCTGACAATTATGAGGCTTTCCGCTGCTGAACTAGTGCAACTGTTGGAGGAGAGGTCTATGAATATCTGTTTCCTTCCACAGAAAAACCTGCTAAAGCCATCTATCTGAAGGAAGGAATTTGTATGAGTATTTATACTTCCTGTGTTCTCTTTTTATTCTTTTATTCTGTATTACATTCATGGGTGATTTTTCCAAACTGGTTTTGATTTCCTTTTTGAAAAGTGGAGGATGTTTATCATAAGGTATTTCCCTCAATAAGTGTAAGCAGCTGATTTGGGCCTGAAGATTCTGCTACTAATACCTACTGAGGGGAAAAAAATACCTCACACAATTGCAATAGGAATAAAAAGAGCAGCATGTTTCTTCCAGACTGCATGACATTTGCTTTTGTGTGATGTGGCATACTTTACTGTCACGATTTGCCTTTTCATTGGGTGCTTATGAAAGACAGGGTTCTGTCAGGCTCATTAGGAAGAAACAATGTTTCTGCAGAGCAGAAAGCTTTTTCAGCCGAGTTCAGTAATCTACTTGGCTTTGTATGGACACTCTCCATGTAAGCTTCTACACTTGGCAAAACCTCTAGTTTATCTGCTGTAGACTATGTGTGGACACTTTTTTTCTGAAGCCCTGGCCTGAAAAAAAAAAAATTACTGTAAACTATTTCCTTTGGGAGTTTGGGTCTGAAAAAAGGTGTACCTTTGTAATATGCTCATGCCTTTGCAATGATGGCTGGCTTGTGTATACTTTTCCACTGTTTGCCATGTAGGCAATAAGAATCTGCATTTGTTTTCTTTTGTTGAGTACTGATCCATTAGTCATAGCTCTTTCTTAAAAAATACTTTGAAAAATATTCTCTATGGTGATAGATATACAGATCTTCATTTTGTGTTGAGATGCCCACTGAGTAGTCTTTGTTTCTTGGTTTTCTTTCTCCAAAACTGTAGTTGGAGGAGCTTGAATGTGTAGTCTACTCACTAGCTGCCAAATACAGTCTTTCAAAAATGTTCTCTTTTAAATGAGGACACAGAGTAGACCACTTCTTGGGAAAATATTTTGTTATGTAGTCTCCCTTCCTCCCCACCCCCCATTTTGGGGGTATTTGCATAAAATAGTTCTGTGCACCAAAAGAGACTTTTAAGTAATAAGGAAGCACAAAAGGACTGTCCCATGTGGATACATTTCAAATATTTGAGTCAGATTCTATTTGATAATGTCTGCTGGTATGTGCTTCAACTTGTGTTTAAACACTGTAAGGGAACAGTTTAAGTACACTTCATCATAATCAGTGCTGCTCGTCTGAATATGAAGAAAGCTTTTTAGATGGATTTGGTCTGAGTGCTGGTAATTAGTGTAAAAGTCAACTGATGTTCCAAAGCTCTTTTTTTTTTACAGTGAAATATGGTAACATGGAGTTTGACTTAGAAATTCATCAGTAGGTTTGAAAACATGTTTTTTCTTTAGTATTGCTTTCCATTACATTATTTTAAGATCGCTTTGTCTACAAGATGCCTTATATGGACTGAATATTGCAGTCTACTACACACAACAGTGTAAAATCAAAAGAACTGTGCTCAGACAGAGCTTCTCATGAGTTGAGAAGTCATGATGGTGAAGAGATGAAAGAGCAAGGGAATTAAAGTGTTAAGTGCCTCAATGGAGGTATCTTCCCCCAGCCATGTTTTGTGGTAGTTTGGAAAGAAGTCATAGGCAGTAATTTTTTTATAATAGCTTAAAACTTTTGAATAAAAGTTTTTCTGGTTAGTTGTTCATGATGAAGCCATAGCAATTTGCCTCAGCTAGAGCAGGGGGGCAGGAGAGGGCAGGAGAGGCATGGGCATAGGACTTTCAGGTCATAAATGATGGTACCTAAGTGGCTGGGAGACAAATTTGAACATATTATAAAATCTTTTCCTTTTTTTTTTTTATTTGCAGGACTTCTAGCTGAAAACCCTGACACTTTCTTTGGGGACAGACATTTTATCAGCTGGGACTTTGTAATGTTTAAAAGGTGTATGTGTTTCTGTGTATGGGAAACAAGTGTACATCTCAAACTTGGCATTCACAGATGAATGACTTCTTTTTCAATAGGGCTTGCTACACAAAGAGTGCTTAATGTGGCCAGTTGTCTTCTCTAAAAACAGGCAAACAAATATGTTTCTGGTTCTTGTAAATTGTCAGTTACAACAGGTGTTATTTTAAATCTCATTTGTGCCATGTGTCTGTGTGGCATATGGTTTTGGCACTTTAGAAAAGAATGAATGGGTTTTTCAGCTTTCATTCATTTTTAGCTTTTGAATCAGCTTTTTTTTAAACATGCCTTGAACAAGTGTATGGTAGTGTTCAGTAGAATTGGATGGTCTTTTTGTTAAAGTGGAACACCAGGTCATATCTGAAGTAAAGAATTCCCGGTCTTCCAAGGTGGAAATGAATCGCTAGAAACTAGCTGATTGCCTCTGCTTAGTCTGATACCAGAACAGCTGGTTGTGATTGAGTTGTTGACTTAATAGCAATTGAGGTATTAGTGTTAGTTTTGGAGTTTTTTGGGGCATTTGTTAAATTCTCAATAAAGACCAAATCCTAATGCTAATTCAATTTCTCTTTCCCAAGGCATTTTCTGTTGTTTAATATCTGTGCATAGCTTGTGGGATAACAATTGAGGATTGAATCTGTTGATTAGTATATCAGTGTTTTTATGTTACAGATAGCAGAGAAAATATCTTGCCCCAGATCTCTGCCAGGAGGCCAAAAAAAAGTTTCATTTTCCAGCTACTTCTTAGGCTAATTTAAATCTGTCAGCTAAAGGATGGTAAAGACTCAAGTCTTGCTTGACTCAAGGAGCTAATCCCTTTTTTACATGCATACATCTGCTGGTCTTTCAGCCATTCTTTGGTAGAACTTGCTTGTCTGTTGATTTAGAGTAACATTATGCTAAGTTTGAGTGTGCAGGACTACTGAGAAGGTAGTACATTAAGTGCATTAATTTTGCTCATGTTCTTATGCTAACATCAGGATTATTTTGTTATTACAGATATGCAAGCCTCTACTTCTGCTGTGCTATTGAAGATCAGGACAATGAACTAATAACTCTGGAAATAATTCATCGTTATGTAGAACTTCTTGACAAGTATTTTGGCAGTGTGAGTTAGCACTTTCTTTTTAATTTTTAGAGATTCACAGTCTATTATGTCATATTGTTTTATGCCCACAGCATGATCAACTAGCTGTTGAAAAGGTGTGTTGAATGCATTTTATGTTGCTTTCTTGGCCAAACTAAACTGATAATTGCCTATATAGCTGTTAAAATACAAAATTCAATTGTTAATTTGAGAGGAGAACTGTTATTAATCTGGTGTTAACTGCCTGTATTTGTTTCTTTTTGTAGTAGTCTCACTTGAGGTCAAATAAAATCTTTATCCTTAGCTTTCTGTCTAGGTGCCCAGCTTTCTTCTCCCTGGCAGTGCTCTAGTGTGTGAGCACTTCTTACATCTGCTTCTGAAGGAAACAGTTGGTTGTTAACTGGCAAGAGGAGTAAGGAAAGAAAAGACAGACATCTGCTTACCCAGACAGCAAACACAAACAACTGTAGTAACGTACTTTAGCACTTTTAGAAAAAAACTGCTGCTCATCCTTTTGCCCTCCTAGTCCTTCTGACTAGGAAATAGACAGGATGAATATGAAATTTGATATTGTTTTCAAATTTTTCTGTAGGATTGCATGATCTGTCTTTGGATACTGCAGGCAAGAAGAGAACATTTTAGGGATATTCTCTTGTCTCATGAAGAGCCACCTCAGACTGACAGTTGTGAATTGAACCCTTTTTAATGAAAACGCTTTTCAGAGACATTGCTATAACTGTTTATTTTTAACTTAAGCAGAAAAAAAATTGATTCATTTTTTTCCTCAAAGGACTTATTTTTTTTTTTCTATTGCCCCACTGTCTTGATTTGGTGAAGTTTGGTGAAGCTGTGAACAAGTTAAGTTTTGTGTGAGTATATACGCCAGTAGATAGTATCCTCTCATTTTGCAATAATGCTTGATGTTCTTTTTAGGTGTGTGAACTTGATATCATTTTCAATTTTGAAAAAGCCTATTTCATTCTGGATGAGTTCCTTTTAGGAGGGGAAGTTCAGGAGACTTCCAAGAAAAATGTTCTCAAAGCCATTGAACAAGCAGATCTTTTACAGGAGGTAAGCAAATTCAACTTTGGACAAAGTGTCAGCACAGTAGGCTGTGACTAGAAAAAGCTTCTGTTTCTCTAAGCTTGTAGAAGGTGCTTTTTAGCATGCTTAACACATAGTTTCTAGTTACTTGTCATAATGGTGCAATATGACAACATTATATGCTCTTTTCATTTTGTTTGGCATGTGTATATTGTAACCTACTGTGATTTTGTGTTTTGCTAGAAATGCAAGTGGCTGTTTTTTGTGTATACCTAGCTAATTATAGTTCATGCTGATTTAACTTAGTTCTGTTCACGTCTTTTGCTTCTTTTTATTGATCAACCATTAGTTTTTTTATCATACCTGATGCATGTTCACTTCTTTACTGTTTCATTGCTGAAATCCAGAAGCTAGACTCTCTTCTTTGACATTCATTCAGGTATAGTTCTTATTCTAAAGACCTGCCTTTCTGCTGTAGGTTGCTTACTCTGGCACATTTCTGTCTTTTCAGTTGACAAAGCAGTAATAGTAGTGCCATAGAAACATACAGAATGAAGTATAAGAACATATAAGAACATTTGTTTTTTCACTTTGAATGCTTTTGCTGTTCATTATAAACTTTGAAGAAAGACAGGTTGCATATCATTTTTCTTTGGAAAACATTTGATGGAAAGGTGATAAATGGTATACAAAACCTTGGTATAATTTCCCCGTGTTTCTTTGTCCTATGCTGTTTTTTTGGTTGGTGTTTTTCTTCTTAATTGCTGTAGTCTTGAGGTCAGTGTTAAGGTCCTTAAATGTCACAAAATTCTGGTATGCTGGGGGAATCATCAGTCGTGTGCAAGTCAGTGGAACATATGGTTTAACAGGGATGATGAACCTTAGTTTTTTTTAAATGTACTGAGGTTCACTTCCAAAAATGGAAGCTCCTCTATTTTTCTCCTCATGTGAACCTTCAATTTGTCCTTTGAGTTAATTGCTTAGTTCTCATATAAACATTCTGTGTTCCACTTAGTACTCTTTTTTGTTGAATGTGGTATTAATAGGATGAGGAAACACATAATGTTCTTTACCCTTGTAGTTGTGTTTGTAATCCTTTCAGAATAGTCAAATCCACAACACATTAAAGTTCTTGTCTGTCAACAGCTAGTTAGTGTCATGAACAAGGTCAGCCATTACACACAGATTTGCTACCCTATTTTTCTAGGAAGGAAATGTAATCACTACTTGTATTCTGAAGCAGTTTTTGTTGAGCCCTTCTTTACTCTTGGAAGGAAGTATCTTAACCATAAGTCCTGTTGCAGTTTACAAAGGGGGGGGGAAGTCAGTTTGTTTGCCTTAAAATATTTTGCTCTTTATATGAAAACGGATGTAACAGATTCATTATCTATTCCAGTCTGTATCCTGCAAATGTACAGTTAATTATACATAAAATAGAATTACTGTATTTTTTCCGTCATTTTCACTGGTCTTTAAGTTTATTCTCACCATTTTCTTAAGTTTTTTTTAAAGCAAAAATGCATTCTACCTATAGGAATTAATTACTGAATTTATTTTGAAACAATTAGCATTCTCTTTTTACACAATATAATTTCAAGTTAAAAATTTAACACAGAGTATCACTTTTTCAGTGGGAGACTTACCCTGATAACTTTACTCTGATTACCCTTCCTTTCCCCATCTGAGATTTTCTGCTCTGTCAAGGCTTATGAAATCTTTTCTGATCAAATTGGAATGTAGCAGTTTATCACAGCACCACTGTAGTCTTATGTTTGAATTGTTTTTCATTCTTAGTTATATTTTTATGGATGTTGATCAAGTAAAAACTACACCGTGTTATCTGATTTTTAGTTTGTAAAATCTGTAGAAGTCTGAGTTCATATTTAAATTGAGCTTCCAGTAAAGTTGGACTCTTTCTGCAAAGGTTTGTTTTTGTATCAACTGCTGCTATGTGCATGCTGAGTTTGATGAAGAGGGTTGTTAAAATAATAGTTTGTCACAACTGGAGACTTTTTGGTACTTTCAGTTAATTTCTGCTTCCCAGAATACTCCAAAGCTACTAGAATGAAATTTGTTTTGATTCCAAATGCAAACTATTTCTAGCAGGGTTGTCATGTATTTGTTTTTGACCATGTCAGATTCTAATTATGTGCAACAAAAGGACTTTTATTTGGCCCTGAATAGTCTAATATAGTCATATAGCCTAATTTAAAAATCATTAATTAGTGTTGAATACACAACATTACTAATTAGTAACAAGACATACATTAGTGTATGAAGCACCTTAAAGATTAAAAGCTGTGTGGAAAACTTACACAAAGGAAAATCATTACAAATTCACTAAGTGGCTATTTGCGTGATGTTAAAAGAAAATATGCAGAGGCATAAATTGCTGAATAGTGAATTAGTTCTTAATAGCCTTGCCTACTTGTATTTTCTGTGGCACTTTTCCAGGATGTGCTTCTGTTTCTGAGTACCTGCTTCAGTTTGTTATTAAGTTCTTGTTGCTGTGCAGTCCACTTACTAACTGCTAGAGTTCGTGTGACTGAAACATACTATCTTTTTAAGCCTTTTTCACCTTCACTTCCTTGTTAGCTCTTCAATAACGTGCTCAGTTCAAATATTCATTCCCTACCCACCCCCTATTTACTACCACCTGATAACTTGCCAATAGTCAGTTGTCAGTACTGGTTGAATGGGAGTAAAAATGAATTATTCCAGTACTTCCATGCTTCGTTGTAAATCTATTGCTAGAAGTACTTCTGTTCAAAAGAATGTTGTCACATGTCGTGTTTGATAATTTTACATCTTGTTTGCTACAAAAATTTTAAAGTTAAATACTTTACTAGTGATTACAAAGGCATGCATTTCTGAAAATGTGGTTTTTTTGCTTGTGTGAACAACTCAATTATACTGAGAGAAGAAAATTGGCAGATGCAGTATGTGTTGCATGAGTTATATACATGTGTGTGAAATATCTGAAAGATAGTCCTGTGCATGATTTCATGATAATTAATTTTTTTTAATGCATGAAATTAGCAACAGAATATGTTCTATGGAAAATTAAATCTGGCCAGGGACATCAAGGGCAAAAAGAAAAGCTTCTATAGGTATGTCAGAAAAGGAAGACGAGGGAAAATGTGGGCCCTCTCCAGAAGGGAATGGGAGACCTGGTTACCCAGGATATGGAGAAGGCTAAGGTAGTCAACCAGTTTTTTTGCCTCAGTTTTCACCAGCAAGTGCTCAAGCCACACTGCCCAAGTCATAGGAGGCAAAGGCAAAGGCAGGGACTAGAAGAATGAAGAACTGCCCACTACAGGAGATCAAGTTCAAGACCTTCTAAAGAATATGAAGGTGCACAAGCCCATGGGACCTGATGAGATGCATCCACCAATCCTGAGGGAACTGGTGGATGAAGTTGCTAAGCCAGTATCCATCATATTTGAGAAGTCATGGCAGTCTGGTGAAGTTCTCGCTGACAGGAAAAGGAGAAGCATAACGCCCATTTTTAAAAGCAGAAAAAAGGAAGACCTGGGGAACTACAGGCTGGTCAGTCTCACCTCTGTGCCCAGCAAGATCAAGGAGCAGATCCTCCTGGAAAATATGCTAAGGCACAGGGAAAACAAAGAAGTGATTGTTGACAGCCAGCATGGCTTCACTAAGGGCAAATCATGCCTGACAAATTTGGTGGCCTTCTATGATGGGGTTACAGTGTTGGTGGATAAGGGAAGAGCAACTGATGTCATCTACCTGGACTTGTTCAAAGCATTTGACACTGTCCCACACGACATCCTTGTCTCTCAGTTGGAGAGACATGGATTTGGTGGAAGGACCACTCAGTAGATGAGGAACTGACTGGATGGTTGCACTTAGAAAGTTGTGGTCAATGGCTCAATGTCCGAGGGAAACCAATGGTGTTCCCCAGAGGTCAGTATTGGGACCAGTGTTGTTTAATGCCTTTGTGGGTGACATGGACAGTGGGGCTGAGTGCACCCTCAGCAAGTTTGCCAACAAAACAAGCTGTGTGGTGTGATCGACATGCTGAAGGGAAGGGATGCCATCCAGCGAGACCTTGACAGGCTTGAGATGTGGGCCTGAGTGAACCTCATGAGGCTCAACAAGGCCAAGTACAAAGTCCCGCATGTGGGTTGAGGCAATCCCAGGCAAAAATACAGGCTGGGTGGAGAATGGATTGAGAGCAGCCCTGAGGAAAAGGACTTGGGGGTGTTGGCAGATGAGAAGTTCAACATGACCCAGCAATGCACACTTGCAGCCCAGAAAGCCAATGGCATCTTGGGCCGCATCAAAAGAAGCATGACCAGCAGGTCCCAAGAGGTGATTCTCCCCCTCTACTCTGCTCTCATGAGACCCCACCTGGAGTACTGTGTCCAGCTCTGGGACCCCCAACATAAGAAGGACATGGATGTGTTGGAGTGAGTCCAGAGGAGGGCCACAAAGATGGTCAGAGGGCTGGAGCACCTTCCGTATGAGGACAGGCTGAGAGAGCTGGGGTTGTTCAGCCTGGAGAAGAGAAGGCTCCGGGGAGACCTTATAGCAGCCTTCCAGTACCTGAAGGGGGCCTACAGGAGAGATGGGAGGGGACTCTTTATCAGGGACTGTAGTGATAGGATGAGTGATAATGGTTTTAAGCTGAAAGAGCCAATTTATGTTAGATATTAGAAACTTTTTCCTGTGAGGGTAGTGAGGCACTGGAACAGGTTGCCCAGGGAAGTTGTGGATGCCCCATCCCTGGAGGTGTGTTCAAGGCCAGGCTGGATGAGGCTTTGAGCAACCTGGTCTAGTGGGAGGTGTCCCTGCTCATGGCAGGGGGGTTGGAACTCGATGATCTTAAATGCCCCTTCCAGCCCAAACCATTCGGCAATTCTGAAGAAAACTAGATAGTAACAGACAGGTCTGTAAACCTTGATATCAAAGGTGTTTCCATAATTATAATAGATATTTTTGAACTGTCCTCCTTGTACTGTGGAGTAGGCTTTCCTGCAAATACTTGCCAAATCATACTCTTC